TTCTGTAATACAAATAATGTCTATACTCTCGTTTGCGATCACAGTTAACAGTTCACTTTTTTTGTTCAAAACGGAATCCGAGTTCGTGTAAAAACATTTTAAAACTTTTTGTGCACTTTCACTTTGATGTATGCGGTTACTCCCTACATTATTTACAGGCCTTAATCTACGGACATCATTCCTACTAATTAAGGAGGAAATGAAGAAAATAGTTTGATTCTGGGATAAACTTCATTATATTAAATATATGTCAGATGGTAACATCCAGACGTTTATTTATTAAATGAGTGTGGCAATAATTGATTCATAAACATTCAAAGCGATTGTAATTGATGACTTAGCGAGCAAAATTTTTAAGCAAAAAAAACAGAGTAGTTTACAAGTTTTAATAGAAGTTATTCATTTAATCGTCGTTTTTGATATTTATTCACGAGAAGTAGATTAAGATTTATATCTTGTGTTACATCAAAATTCTGGATTCTCACTAGATTTGACATATAATTTGATGCTGTGAAGTCCGAAAAATTAATGCCACTCGCACTTCACGCACGTTCTATTATGTTTGAGGTCACTCAACATGAAATAAAGCTGATGATTTATTTATTGATCTTTATTCATAGATTCGTGTTTAATTTATTAGTATGTATAGCAGCCGCATATCCCATCGTTATTAGTACGTATTGCAGCCGTATATGCCATTGTTATTTTATTAGTACGTATAGCAGCCGCATATACGTGATATACCTTTGTTTCAACTAATCTCGATTGTTGACCGAAAAATACTCTGGAAAACAAGACTCTAGACAACATGACTAGACAACAAGAAAAATAAGTGAAAAACAAATTGAACAGTGCGTGGCTAATCTATACGTAATGACTCACAAAAGTTTATGCTGTTTTGCATATGAATGTAATTAACGCAGTCAATGAGCTATTCATTGTTCTAATGTTTAGTGAGCGACACTTATGTTTATTGAGCGACTCTATTTCGCTGCAAATATATTCAATCTTGATAATTCACCATTTTAATCTGCGATTTAAGTGCCATTAAGTTAAACCGTTATCCATTATCCAGTTGTGGCAAACTCCATTATCCAGTTGTGGCCCTCACATCAACATATTATTAAGGGCATTTCACTATTGACCTCAAGCCCTTTAGTCGTGGAACTTTCCAAGAAATAAATTCAGATAGCATAATTAAATAAATCCAAGCTTGTCACGCTTCAGACTTTGCCAGTGAAGTGCTAGACGCTGTTGTGAAACCTGTTTCAATGAAGCATGTGATCGGAAGTTAATTCGGTTTGAAAAGAACTTAACTTGGTTCATTAATGTTATTGTTTGGATTATTTTAAGATTTCGAAGAAGCTTAGCAGGATTTGAGTCAATAACAATGAATTTGAGTCAATAAAAATTATAGCAGTAGGATAAAATTAGTTAATGCTTTCTGCTGAGTGAATTAATATATGTTAATGTTCTTATATACCTAACTACTAGTGACCAGTCAACAACGAACGGCTGGACATTGTCAATTTTCAACTAGCAATCTAATTGTGGACTTATGTCTTGCTTGAAAAATTTATCGTCGTTCAGAATGTATATATATAAACATTTCTGTTACGGTTTACAGCGACAATTTCAGGATTTGAAAAACATGAATTGATCGTAAATATGACGATCAATCATATGTTATCGAAAGTTTGATCAGGTATCTCCTCACACAATTATAGTTATTCTAAAAAAATCGACGAATAATTGAATTTTTTTATATCTGCACTAGAAATTCGCAGTGAAAAGACCTCGCATTTTACGAAGCTGAAATATTCACGATATTTGTTGTATCACAATGTTTTACATGAGTGGTTCAGAGTGAGCATTTTCATGCTATCTAACAGCCTTGGAGGTCGAGTGTGAGGTGTGAAGATGCAGGCTGCACTTGACATTCAAGTATGAAAATATACATACACAAATGCATTTGCGTCAACTGTCGCCATGCTACACTTCGAGTACACAGGGATTACAATTCTGACAATTTTTGAATGGTTTAGGAACTACGCTCTTTGAATACCCAATTGTCTTGCATAGTTTGTTACCAAATCGATTCAGAGATGAACTCTACAAGAATTTGCTCACATTGAACATATTATATAAACCAACGAATTTCTAACGCTCATTTTTGTAAGATATATTCAATCAGTTATGCGATCGTTATTCGTCTCTTTCAAATATAACATTTCCCAATAGTATCGAATTATGAATTTTAGAAATGAATTTCGAAGAAAGCAACGTCCAGCTTGGTAACAATCTTAAATAATTAATTTAAAAAATAATGAATCAAATGCGAAAAATATTACATAATATGAATGTGTTACCGAGCATTAACATGTCTTTTCGAGAGTTTATTGCACTTTCATTTAGGCCACTGTCATAATAAAAAAAACAGCATTCATACGTAGTAATAAAAATCTGAATTGCTCTTCGCCTTGCACCTCGAAATGTCTTCACTGTCTGAAGTGCAGTAGGAGTTGCGAGGCGAACTATTGGCCTCTGCCTTAACATCATCCACCCGAGTCACCAACCCAATGTAAGCATTGATATTCCATTTGAAATTGATACAAACTCCATTTTAAATTGAAACAAACTCCATTTGAAATTGTTACAAACTCCATTTGAAATTGATACCAACTCTATTTGAAATTGCTACAAACTCCATTTTAAATTGATACAAATTCCATTTTAAATTAATACAAACTCCATTTTAAATTAATACAAACTCCATTTGAAATTGATACAAACTCCATTTGAAATTGATACAAACTTCATTTGAAATTAATACAAACTCCATTTGAAATTGATACAAACTCCATTTGAAATTGATACAAACTAGATACAAACTCCATTTTAAATTGATACAAGCTTCATTTGAAATTGATACAAACTCCATTTGAAATTGATACAAACTCCATTTGAAATTGATACAATACGGGAATTTTTTTTGAGTAATTTCAAAAAACGTAATCATTTATTAGTTCCAGGATTTTTAATCGACAAACGGAATTATTGCTGTTGTTTACCTTGAGCGTACGGAGCAGATCAAATACAATTTACAACTTCTACTAGTATAACAACGGCTAATTAACTTGACTCTCTATTTTCATTAGAAAATCACCAATCTTTGTATCAAAAATTTGTTCTTAGGTTGATTTGATTTGTTAATAGATTTTAATAGTGATTGTGTCAAAAATTTCTTACTGGATTAATTTAATTTGTTAATAGATTTTAATAGTGAATTGACTGACTACATGCACATGTCTGAAATGTTTTCCAAGGAATTCCCTTTGTACAGAAAATGTCTGAGCTAAACTCTAAGTTAACTACGGACCGCGGTCTTGCCGTCGGCGAACGATTGCTAACTGACGAGAAACGCAAATTGTCAGCAATCCTTGACCACGAAGACTTGAAAGACATAAAATCCCCTAAAGAAGGAATGGAAGAAGCTCAGAAAATTTCCTGGAGGAGAAAAGTGTGGAAAGAATTGAAGCCGGACAAGCGATTGATTCCTATCAAGATTTTAACGTTCCTTTTTTTCGGAGGTGAGATGTTTGATAGACGATAATTTTGGTATATTATATTGTTTGTCATTGTATTCTGATTCATGACGACAGAAATTTTTATTCATTTCCTGGCACACGGTTTTGGGAAAGTTCAAATCTGTTCCTTCAGATAGGGTAACGTGGGGCAGCGCGCCCCCCACTTTTTTTAAACTAAATTTTTGATGAAGTTTTAATTGATACGAGGTGGTTCTTTGTTTTGATAGAGAACACGGACCAATATCTGCCATACTTAGCGAGAAACCCGCTATGGGCCCGTGACCCGCAGTGGGCTCGCTGCCCCATGTTACCCTATCGCTCTACTTGTTCCGTAAATGTAATTCACGCAAATATTTAACATAATTTTGATACGCACAGGAACATTTGTTCGTCTCATTTTAACAATATAGTAATACATCTTATTATCTATAAATATTTTCAGTGATCGGAAACATACAATGCATTGCGAGGATTACTTGGTGCACCAATAGAGAAATAATGAGACTGTGTACCTAACTACTAGAAAAAATTGCTATTAAGATGTCGCTTATTTTTCATTTGTTATCTCACTTTGCACTGATATGGAGTCCAAAACTTTTTATACCAGTAACACCATCATAAAATTATTAATGCCTAATTAACTCCAAGTATTTCAATGAAAAATTAATGTTAATAATAATGCATTAAATTTAATGTATGGTTCCCATTTTTAAATATTTTTATATTAAATAATAATAATAAAGTACATTCATCAGCTAAAAATCATATATATTTCAAATGGAAAAAAACTTGTCTTGAGATAAGTTGTGAATACGTTACAAGAATGAAAAATTGTTTCAGGCATAGCAATAATATAATAACAACTATGTAAAGATAATATTAATCTAATACTTATAACTTTTGTTTCGGCAGGAATGTTTTGTGTGACTCCATACTTCTCACTGCACATGCAGCAGCTCGGCATCTCCGTTAAAGAGATCGCAATCATTTATTCAATCCTGCCACTGCCAGCCATCATGGGGCCTGTCATCTGTGGTAAGCATGCAACCTCTCACGCCATCCTGCCTCTGCCCGCCTCCACGTAGCCCGTTATCTGTGGTAAGCATGCAACCCTTCACGCCATCCTGCCTCTGCCCGCCATCACGTGGCCCGTCATCTGTGGTAAGCATGCAACCTCTCACGCATCCTGCCTCTGCCCGTCACCACGTGGTCCGTCATCTGTGGTAAGCATGCAACCCCTCACGCCATCCTGCCTCTGCCCGCCACCACGTGGCCCGTCATCTATGGTAAGCATGCAACCTCTCACGCCATCCTGCCTCTGCCCGCCACCACGTGGCCCGTCATCTATGGTAAGCATGCAACCCTTCACGCCATCCTGCCTCTGCCCGCCACCACGTGGCCCGTCAACTGCGGTAAGCATGTAACCTCTCAAGTTCAAGTTTCAATGCTAATGTTATAAATGCGATCAATGCCAACTACACTTGTCAAGCACAATCTGACCACAATGTCTCTACAGGTATTATCGGAGATTACGTTTCCAACTTCAAGGCTATTCTGATAGCCAACATCGGCTTGACGGTTCTGTTCAACATCGCGTCGGTGTTCACGCCGGTGTTGGAACTACAACACATGCAGCCGCTGAACTTCAACTCGTCAGGCTTGTCTCTCTCCGAGCCATTTTGCCTGCTTGAAGGCGAGACCCTCAGCTCTGACCGCATGCCATGGGTGAATGATTATTTAATTATCCTAAGTGTTGAACTTTTGTTTTAAACTACAGGGTGATTCAATCAAACTCCCTGATTTGAAAGCTCAATAACAAAGAACTAGTAAAGATATCACTACAATATAAATTTTATTGGAAAAGACCTTGAATTTTTGTGTCATTTTTTTTAAATATGACATCGGACAAATGAAAGCCTCCATTGTCAATGCATTCAGTTAGTCTATTTTTTGAAGTTCCGTTCAACTCGCTAAAGCAATTTGACGGGTATGTTGGCAATGGCTTCGCTTATGTTGTTCTTCAAATGAGGTAGGGTCCTTAGACGGTCATTGTATACAATTGATTTAAGATAACCACATAAAAATTCGCACTGAAAAAAATCGGATGAACCCAGGTAATAATCGATTTCCGATCCGGGACTTGACCTGAAGGACGAATACAGAACCGAATACGGAATACTCGTTGAGTAGCGATAGCAGAACGGCCATTTAAAAAGTATATCTCGACAGCAAACGCACGCTGCTCACTTGTCCAGTGCATGGTGGCAACTGACTAGGAGGGACACAAAATTTCATGACCTTGCCTTCCATGTGAAATACTCCACGCCTTTATCCTACAACATCTGGCTGCTTAGCGTGAAATACATAAAAAAATTTCCGTGAATCACCCTGCATACCTTACATTGTTACTTGTGTCTAACCCAAGTAAAACTGGCCAATTCTGTTTTCAGAGGAGAGACCGTCTGCTCTGAGCGCATGCCCAGGGTAAATGATTATCCTGAGTGTTAAATTTCGTAGTTAAACTTAAATTTAGTTCCTTATATGTTCAACTAAAAAAATACTAAATCAATACTGGCCACTTCTTTAGGTATATATACTCATTTAAATTGCCAACATTTCATAAATATTAGTAGGTATGAACATTTGACAAAGGAATTTGTGGTTTATTTCCTATCTCCTTGTGTTCAAACAAATTAGCACGGTCAATTCTTAATTTGTATTAAATTCATGATGAAATGGAGATTTTTTAACATATCTCTCATAACTGAAGATTTAGTGACGAATTTATTATATAACTTTCTTTTTACGATGCAATCGTATGTAACAGAAACTTCAATGAATTTAATGAGAAATTTGTTTTATGTTTTCCTGTTCCTACACAGTTGTGCAACAGTCCATGCTTCGATAATTCAGAATTGGACGTCTTCTCCAACACCAACCAAACCTTGCACTGCACTTCGGTTGATCGCAGTCATGAGGTATAATAAGGCGATGCAATAAAGCACAATGCCCCTCATTAACTAAATGTACCGGTAAAAATTTTTGTTCAGAGTGTAGATTAACTCAAGTTGTGAATTTCTTTAAGGCTTGCAGTATATTAACAGGTGAGTGAAACTTCAGGTGCTCTATTAAAATCAAATAATGAGCATTATCTTATTATAAATTTGGATGACTTAGAATGGCGTCCATGGACGAGTTTTTCATCATATTTACGATATTCATAGAATATTTCCTCAATTCCTGTTCATGCTTTTGCGCTTATTTTTAAATTCTTTCTCGGTTGCCTTAAAATTGACGTACCCTCGTAGTTCTGCTTGTAGAAGACGTTGCGAAATTTTCTTTATAGAATAATGATATTTATACTTATAATTAAAAAAAGTTGAAACAAGACATCGCGAAATTTTCTTCATAGAATAATAATATTTCTATTTATAATTAAAAGTAGCTTGGTTCTCACAGTTGCCGCTGTCTTCTTGTTTCTTGGAGATGCCAGACGAAGCTGGCTGTGGCCACACCGTGCAGTTCTCTAACGGACGTTCTCGATTCTCCTCCTCCAAAGACAATTTCTACGCCAGCACCAACGAATGCATCGTAACGTGTGTTCCTACGTCGATGCAAGGAGTAGACGATTCCTATATGAGCAATTCTAGAACCTTTTGGATCTACTTTATCTGCAGAATCTTCGTGACTTTGTTCATGAATGCAGCCTTCTCGATGATGGTGGGTGACGAAATTTATGTTTTATTTTTCGAAATGTTATGAAATTGTTATGGTCTTTCAGAAAGAAATCAGCACCCCATGAAGAATTATTGTGATTTGAATGTTTCGATAAAATGTTTAGTCAGCCTGTTTTTAAATTTTTGTAGGTCATAGTTAACTTTATAACGAAGAAAGAATTCATTTATAGTGAGTTACTTCCATTGCTTAAAAAATTAATCTTGAGAGGAAGGTTGATACACTATACTTGATAGTTAAATTTTTTAAGGGAATTTATTTAAATTTATAGGGTGATCGCAATATGTTGTATAACAAATGCCATCTCGAATCAATGACATCAACATGCTGCAGACAAAATGTTGAAGGATAAATATGATTTCATTAAAATATTTTGCTTTCGAGTAAATATATATAGCGATACTTCGGTGCATTGATTGTTCTGGTCCCCATATAGACTTGGCTCTTTCATGTCAGCTAATGGCAGAAACTGTAAATCATGTTTTAAAATCACTTGTTTGCTTAAATGGCAAATTTAACAGGAATTTAAAAGCAGAGATAAAACCATAAAAAATCATCATATCTTTACAAGACAAAACATTTCAGAGTCCAGCTCCATCGTCAGTTCATAACAGAAAGTTCATTTCAGAAGAAGTTCAGTCCTAGAAACACAAATACACTCAATTAATAAAGTATATTATGTTCATACAGCTTAAGAAAAATAATCATATTAACATGCAAACGCCAGTTGCTTATTCTATGCGATTTGAAAATATTCTTTTTGAATTGCAATTATCGAATTTAGGATTCGTGAAAGCTTGAAGAACTGCCATCACATTTGCTTTCACGTGGGACCTGAGAAGGTGAAGACATTGGCTGGGAAGAAAATATACTCGTAATATAGTTATCATTTTTGGCTGGACTATTGATGAGACTAACGGACAACTTCCTACCCAGGACATGTTCCGACTATTTATGATACTAACGGAACACTATTCAACACTAGATTCACCCCATAACATTTCCCGACTATTTATGAGACTTACGGAACACAATTTATTCAAGACTATTTATTCAACACTATTCAACACTATTTATTGAACACCATTCAACACTATTTATTCAACACTATTCAACACTATTTATTCAACACTATTTATTCAACATTATTTATTCAACACTATTTATTCAGCACTATTTATTCAACACTATTTATTCAGCACTATTTATTCAACACAATTTATTCAACACTATTATTGAACGCTATTTATTAAACACTATTTATTCAACACTATTTATTCAACACTATGTATTCAACACTATTTATTCAACGCTATTCAACACAATTTATTCAACACTATTCAACACTATTTATTCAACACTATGTATTCAACACTATTCAACACTATTTATTCAACACTATTCAGCACAATTTATTCAACACTATTCACATCAGGATATGTCCCAACTATGTATGAGACTAACTGGACAATTTTACCCCAATGTACGTCCCGACTATTTATGAAACTAACAGAACACTATTCATTCAACACTATTTATTCATACTATTTATTCAAGACTATTCAATACTATTTATTCAACACTATTCAACACTATTTAACACTATTCAAGACTATTCACCACAGGACGCGTCGATTATGGCTGTGATGCTGCGCACCGGCGGCGACTACGGCAAGCAGAGACTCGTCGCCATGCTCAGCATGGCCACCTTCCCCTTCATCGCCTCCTGCATCGTCGAGTCTCTGTCCAAAGGTAATTTATTATTTAACTAATTTCAACTTTTTAAAGCCAATTTTTCTTCATTTGAACGCAATCTTTTATGAGAGCAGATATGTTGTTGGTCAAATAATGTTAGTGGCGTCTATAACGATAGGTGTGAAGTTTTGTAATTTCAAATGAATACAATTTTGAATTAAAAACCAATTTTACCTTTTTGAAGCTAATTTCTCTGTATGTGAACGCAATTTTTATGAGAACCGATATGTTGTTGGTCAAATAATGTTAGTGGCATCTATAACGATAGGTGTGAAGTTTTGTAACTTCAAATGAATAAAATTTTGAAATAAAAAATACGCATCGAAAGCTGTAACGGATTTACAAATATAATGATTTGAAATTCATGTCTCATTAGAAAAGTTAAGTAATTGCAAATCCAAGACTACCAAAATGGTCAAGCTAATAAATAAATACTTTGAAAATTAAAATTTAAATTTGAAACAAACGAAAATTTATTTCTCTAGTTATTTAATCCTCCTCACCAATCGAGTACGTAAAGAAAAAAATTATGACGGTGTATAAATTTGCTTCTTAATGAGCTTGTTGAATTAGAAACGCGTTCTCGAAAAATAATTAAATGGGCGTGGTATTTAAAAAGCTTAAAAAATAACCAAACAAATTGTAAACAAGAATAATATTTATCGCATTCAATACAACGAAAATTAAATAACAAAACTGAGAACATTCTAGGTTTCGCAAAATGACTATAAATCCTAAATTTCATGTACCGCAAACAACATCAATTTAGAATAATAATATCTAGAACAAATGCTGAAATATATGCTTCATTATTATACCTTCAGCCGTATGTAAAAGTGATGAATATTGTGCACTGATTACATAAAAAATATAACTCAGTACTCACTGCAGTGAGTGACAGAGAGCGCATTTTATCGTCGACGAAAACTTGAGGTCACGGACGGATGGAAAGACGGACAGACAGACAGACAGACAGACAGACAGACAGACAGACAGACAGACAGACAGACAGACGGACATGGCGAGCACAATAGTGCATTTTTTCCATAAATGAGAAAATGCGCTAAAAACGCATTTTGACATCAATAATCACAGCTTCAACATAAGTGCAATAAATAATAAGTTGTTGAACACGTGTTTTTATTTTACATTTAACATTTACTAAGCATTGCTCATGCAATGAAATGTGAATTATCTTTTATCTAACAACCCGAGATAAGGTCAGAGATCTGGGCCAGAACCATAAAGTAAATACGTGGACTGTAAAATATAACTTTCCACGTGTATTACTGTAATTGGTTTATAAATGCCATAGTTCATAAATTGTTCAGCAGCTTCATTGAAATGGAAATGGTTGATACATAATATCTGTATTTATATATGATTATATATGATAATTTTGCTTTGTTTGGTGCGTCACTGTTTTAACTGGTATACATATTCAAGCAAACGATGAATTCAGTCATATTGAATTAAATTCAACAGATGCGTTTGACAGTCTGCATTATTGAATTTTTATTGGCTATTCCAATGGGTTAATAATGAATAGGGAAAGATTCCAACATTCAGTTCATCAGTACCATAAATGCCATACCATAAAAACGTCGTATCATCCAGTAGTACCTACAAATGCCACCTATTAGTTTGTTTATACTTCAAGGAACTAATCGGGTATTATTTCGTTTTTCTATCGTACCAAAATAACAATTCGTGACGTTACGTCATAACTTTAATGAGGTGCTGTGAAAAATGTCGTTAGGAAGTATGATTGTGTTAACTTTTTTATGAAGCTCAATTGTCTTGCACATTTCAGGGCCGGCCGACTACTCGTACGCGATCTACCTGCACGCGTTGCTGCTCGGCTGCAGCGCCATCGTTGCTTTTTGCATCAACCTTGATGTGAGTTTTATTCTTTAATAGTGGTCATAGTGTGGTCAATAGTGGTCGTTAATAGTGGTCCTTTGCATCAACTTTGATGCGAGTTTTATTCTTAATTGTGGTCATAGTGTGGTCAATAGTGGTCGTTAATAGTGGTCCTTACGGACCAGGCAATAAGTCCAGCAGCTATCTCAGTCAATCGTCAATTATGAAAAGATCGGGTTCCAAAGGCCGGATCCCTTGTGAATCAAGTCACGAAAAGTACAAGAATCGGCAACAGGCCATGGGCCTATTTCTTCAGTGCCGACACTTCTATTCTATTCTATAATCACCACATATTTTCAAATACAATGATTCGTTTTTCAATATATTCGTTTACTCATGTAAACGAAGCGTTGTTGAAAATTTTTTTGTTGACTGGCCTTTCCTCAGATTACTTATGGGTGTAAAATGCAGCAGAGTCCCTTTATTTTTATTGCGGTTACAGATATATGATTAGTGTACGTACTTCATTTTTTGTAGATTGAAAAGAGTGCAGATCACTAGAAATGAGCGGTATAAACCGGCTTGGGCCCTTATCCAGCGCAATTTTACGTTTGGTGGCAAATTCAGCCACTCCTTTGCTGGGAACTGATTTATTGAACTGGTCTCTGCTCTCTGCAACGCGTTTACAATCGTAGTCCGATGCATTCAACTCGAGATTGATTATCTTAACAAATTGTGTTATCATTAAGAGCATTTTCTACGATCTTGCTGCTGCTGCTGCGCGCGGATGCATTCAGCAAATGAGTTCAATCATATTCTCATTAAACGCCAAAGATTTTTTTTCGGTTTACATACTGGAGTCATTATGCAACTCCCTCCATCTTTTACCGGTCGAGAAATAATTTGTGTCTTCTCAATGGCGCTTAAAATTTTTTGAACACTGAAGATATCTATTGCAATAAGAGGAAAAGTGCAATTTTTTTTGTGCAAAAGTGCAATTTTTTTTAAAAGTGCTTCACGCGTCATTTTTTTTAACATATGTCCACATTCAACAATTTTCTCATCCACTATCGTAACTTGAATTTATTTAGGTAAAATCAGAAAAGAACGAGAATATCTGGAGAGACATCATTCAACTGATGAAGAGGACGGAGGTTGTCATATTCCTTTTCATCATCTTCCTTCTGGGGGCGAATTGGGGCTTCTTGGAGAACTACCTCTTCGTCTTCCTCAACTACCTGAAAGCTCCCACGTATCTACTGGGTAACCTCTACTCCTGACGTTTTAGCCTCCTCTCTGCAGAGACTTGAGTTTTATTGATGTGCAAAGCATCTGATAATATTAAATATTTCTGGCGCAAATGCTAACGAAATTTCAGATTTTATTGATCAGTCTATTACGGTTACTTGTTCTTCGTTATTATAAGATATTTTATGCTCGCGATTGTTCACAAATACTCCAACTACACGGATAAATTAACCGCTCTAAATGTTACTCGTATCAATGTTTTGGCAACGATAGTACAGAAAAAAACCATCGACAAAGAGGTGAGGGAGAACCAAAAGTTGTTCCTGTTTTATAGTCTAAATAACTTCTCTTTAATTCGCACTAAGTCGCATCCTATTCGTCGCAGGACTGACGATGACGTTTGGCTGTCTCACTGGAGTGCCCATGTTGCTCGTGTCTGACAGGATCGTCGAGAAACTCGGAAGGCAAAAAGTTTTCGTTATCGGCTTCCTAGCGTACACCGTCAGAATGTTCGGATACTCCATTATCACGTAAGCGTCAAATATTAACATTGAGTGCGTTTTCCTACATCGTAAATTAACGTACAACAACTCCAAACTTTTGTCCAAAGAGTCTATATTAGAAAATTTACGCACAACAGCTTCTAAACTTTTCTGTCCAAAGTGTCTGAATTAGAAAATTTACAAGCGCGTCTATGTTCCAATGTGGATAGTCATCGTTATTGAATTTTACATTCACGGCAGGAACCCCTGGTACTGTTTCATTTTCGAGGCCCTGGAGGTGTTCACCTACCAGATCATGTGGGTGGCTGCTGTCACATACTTCCCTATCCTGGCCCCGACCAGCCTGCTGGGTACACTCACTGGCATTGCTGGTGCAGTCCACTACAATATTGGTAAATAAATTAACGTTTGTTGTATGCGATAAAATGTTAAGCCTAGCATCATTTCAGCGGTAAAAATTACGTAGAAAAATTAGGGCATATCGAGTAGTTTTAAAGCTCCGATAATTAAAACTTATGAAGCTGAAAGTGTAGCGTTCTTACCAAATATGTAATATATTAATATGTTATTTATCAATAGATTTGCACAATCTTGTTCTTTTTCACTAGGCCGCAATTCTCATTTGCCCAAACAATGGAAATTAGTATTATTGATCAATTGATAATTGGGGTTCATGTTATGAGGTTCCACAATAGCGCAGCTTCACCTAGTTTTGGGCAAATCCAACATATCTCTGCTGTCTATATGAAGAGCACAGTCGTTCATTTATTATTTGCTTTTAAATTATCATTATTATTATTTAAATATTAAATAGAATAAATATTATTAAATGAATTATAAATTTAGTATAAATTCATTATTAAATATTAAATAAAATTTAACTATTATTTTAATTATTTAAAGTAAAATTGCCTGTTAAAGCCTCTTGATATAACTTGATAATAATGCATTTATGTTCCCTTATGTTGTATAAAAATGAGAACGAATGCTATTCATTCCAGCTCAACATTTTCTTATTGTGAGATTAAATACAAATCTTTCTGTTTAATAAATCAAGCTAGGAGTAAGCTTTAGTTTTTTGAGTTTTTTTTAGAAAAATACTTCCTTAATATTTGCGTTACGTTTGTCTTTTTTCGTGAATGATACTTATATTGCCAACCATGCATTTAATTATGGCTTTTAAACATATCTCGTAACACACATGTGAAATGCATTGCACAAGTTAAATTTCTCGATATACAGCTCGATACCTAGCACATTGCTTCTCCGGCATTTACTGTTTGACCAAAAAAAGGCCAATAAACATATCTCTATACGAGACAAGTCCAGGGCATCATATGAATCAACCACTGGCCAAACTCGGCCTATTTTTAAACTACCCTTGAAATATGTGAATATTTTGAACTATCATATTGAATATTAAATTACTAACTATTATATTATATAGCTATTTTTAAACTATTGCTATGCTATGCAGGCCGTGGTGGTGGAGCCCTGGTAGGAGGCTTCCTGATCGCCGGCGTCGGGATGGTCTGGACCTTCAGGGTGTTCGGTGTCGCCAGTTTCTTCTTCGCTATCATGTACATCGTCCTGCATAAATACGGTCTCAACAAGCTCGCCGAGGTCAAAGATCAGGATGCAGGTATTCCTACGTAATTTTATATTAGCATCATGAGCATTTTTCATGAAATAAATCTGATGAACTTATTTACTGTATAAATACGGTCTTAACAAGCTCGCAGAGGTCAAAGATCAGGATGCAGGTATTCCTACGTAATTTTATATTAGCATCATGAGCATTTTTCATGAAAGATATCATCTAATGAAATTGTTTACTGTATAAATAAGGTCTTAACAAGCTCGCCGAGGTCAAAGATCAGGATGCAGGTAGTCTTACGTAATTTTATATTAGCATCATGAGCATTTTTCATGAAAGATATCTGAAGCATTTGTTTACTACATAAATACGACCTCAATAAGCTCGCCGAAGTCAAAGATCAGGATGCAGGTATTCTTACGTAATTTTATATTAGCATCATGAGCATTTTTCATTAAATAAATTTAAAGATTCAAAATATTTTTCGACATTCGCTCATTACCACAGTTTGATTTCGCTGTATTTATTTGCTTGCATTAGAGCCTTATATCATTGAAATATATACATATATTGACTTAAATATTTTCACTTGAGCCGAACCCACTAAATATTATCAACTGCAAAAAAATTATATAAGTGATATCATGAGCATTGTAAAATTTATTATATCTAGAAAAAATAAAACAAATTGAGGCTAGAGGCTTTCATTTTAATTTCGTTAAGTAACGCTTGAAGCAAGGTTCAGTATGAGAGTTCAGTAAGATTAAAGTAAAGTATTGGACTAAAAAACCTATGGAGCATTGAAGTAAGAACCCTTACTCGCTCAGTAACGAGTAAGGTTCATTCAAATTTATGTTATGGTAACTGTGCATCGTTTACCTAATATATTGTTTCGTTTCTACAGAAAATACGAAAGAAGAAGAAGCCAATCAGAAAGTAGAAGTGTGAGATGAAGATTTTGATAGAAAAGTCCAGTGGCGCAACTATATACATATGAAAGACGGTTAAACTAATCTCTGCTTGAACGTGCGTGTGATAAGAAGATGCTCTGCAACCAAATCATTCGATGTGTATTATTTATAAGCATAGTCTCAGACTCTAAAAAACATTTTTTTGTTTTTTCCTAAATATCTTTTGAAGAATTGCACTTAGCACTGTGAAATTTGTACCAAACATCACGAGCCCAGTGTATGTGCTCAAAAATTGCCAGGATTTTAACGCAACTAGTTTTCAGTTAAGAAGCTAAATTATGCAAAATAAAAAAAAACTCACATGTTGAATTAACATGGTGAATTAATATCAAAGTTAAAATTAATATCAAGCATAAAGTTTATGTAACGCTAACATTAAATAATTAATAACATTGGTAAAGTTTATTCCTCTAGCAATGATGACAAAATGTTAAAACAGCGCTCGAGAATTTAGAAAAATCGAAAAACTCTCTAAATGGATTTTGACATGAAGGAGATTTCTGATGATCAATTTTTTCTATTTCTAAATAAATAACTAAGTTATATTTCTAAAATAACTAAATTATATATATTAGATATAATTTAGTCGCAACGGACTTTACTTAAGACAATTTAATTCTATTAATGGAAGCTAAGCCACACTTTTTCGTCGCAAAAGTTGTATTAATTACCAATAAATATTGAAGTCAATTCAAAATTCATACAGTTTTTCGTTTTTATTTTCAAGTTTTGAAAATATTTTGTTTATCATCTTCAATTTTCCGTTACCCATCTAATAATATAACTATTGCTCGTATTATATAAAGAAATAATTCCTCTGAATTTTCTCTCATGGCCATGCAGTTGTGTTTGTGAAGCCAATAATTGAACATAAAGCGAATTTATCAAAGCGCATTTTTCATTTCAGAGAATAAAATGACACCAGAAAAATTTTTAGCTTCTAGGATTATTCCCTTATGAGCTACCATCATACTTTTCAATTTGAAAAATACAATAATATTATAAATGAATGAAACTTGGACGCAGCAAGGATGATTAGTGTTGACATTGATTAAAGTTTCGAAAATAGTAATTAGAACAAGAAGATGACGCACGCTTTATTAGTTACCGAGAATTTTCATAGAGTGAAGAATGGGTTTGTAGGAAACCCATTTTCCCAACTGTAGAGTGCACACCTATTTTAGTTATTATACATTATATAGTAATAATATATTTTAGTTATTATATATTATATAGTTATATATTGAGGTTATTATATATATTTGACCAAAATACTAACATACTTCTTCTCGGTTTTATTGATCTTCACAATCGGTATGCAACAGTGTATACAATTCAAATATTAAAATAAAGCGCCATCAACTAACACGAATGGAAACAGAAAAAAATCAGTCGAGTTGTCGGTGTAAGAAAGCAACACTTATTAAAATTGATGCGACATGTTTTTGAAATAAATTTAATATCCTCAAAATAAAATCACATTCAGTACTGTTTTAAATTAGTTCTAACAGTCAAATATAGTTTAAACCATAAACAACTTATCGTTAAGAGAAATGACAATATAACATCATGTTTAATTAACAAAGGGTAATTATACAAATCAGAAATATCATCGATACAATATGTCTGCAATAATATGTAGTTAATAAGTTAGTTATAATAGTTAATAATAACAATATGTCATCCGTCAACTAACTAAAACAAGTTGCCGAAAGATCCTTAACTTGAATGCCTAATTTCTCTTTCGAATAGAACTTAGCTTAGAAGATAATTTCGGCAGAAATTTCCGATAGTTATTAACCATAGATACACAATAGAATGAAACATGTATCGCTTAAAAAACGCTTTTTCATGTAATTAAGAAGTGTAGCTTTCACAACTGTAAGAAATCTTAGGGTGTAGCTCCAGATACTATCTGGAATCTACTTTGTGCATTGATCGTGAGTAATTCCATGCTCAGAATCTGTACAACACAACGTTTACTTCTCGTCATAGTTAGGAAAATCCATTGGCTTATATACTTACATGTCTTCATGAAAATAAAGCTTAAAATCTTACAATACCGGGTATTTTTCAACTAATAGTTAACACAATAGCATTTTCGACGGCATCAATGGAGTAGAACAATAATAATATCGATGCTGAAGTTGAAATATTGATTTCATCTGAGCCCTGAGAGTATCTAATTACAGGAAAAAACATGACTGTGTTTCCATCTTCTCAGTTTTGTATGACGATTGCGAAAACTCAATAGAATTCAAAATTGAGGTTGATTTGACATAGTTATTTTGATTGTTATTCAATTTGATGTCGCAATTTCTGAGAGAATTTGCTGTTCAACTGCTTTTACGACTTCCACCAATTTGCTAATTTTCCATAAAAAACTTCTCATGCACACTTTCTTAATTAATTTACAACATCCAAATATAAAATATGGCTGAACAGCAGCTTTGAAAAACATTGTCTCAGAGACTTGATTGTTCATGGAGCAGAATCCTGTCAACGTTTAAAAATTCTTTCAAATATTTTCACCCAAAATATGAACATTATTTCCATAAAGTACTGGCAACATTTTCAAATAAAAACAATTAATAATGACAAAGAACAACATTTTCATTTCGTTACACGTTGGAATTTATTGCATTAAAGATTCCAATTTGTTCCCTGGCAACGTTATCTATTTTTCCAATTCTAATTTACCCTTAGAAAATAATGAAAGCTCAGAAGTCAAAGTTGAATGCAATGCGATAGTAGGATTCGAACTATTTTAATCCTTATTTTGACCTCAGTTCTGCGGATCTCAATGCAACCTATCTTCGTTCACACACAAAATTAGTGAGTCTCTAATAATGAGAGTTTTCAAATAATTCGATCAGATAATATACTTGAGAGCTTGACCGGGCGATGATTAGAGTTAGCATCAACATGATAACAACTGCGGGGCTGCGGTTAAGCGAATTAAACAAGTGCTATTTAATATTTCATCAGCTCTTATCATCCAAATTAGCCTTCATTAACTTTATTTACTTCACTATATGCTTTAGGTACGGTACTCAATTTTCCGCTCATCAGTCAGTTCAGATTTGAGAGCAGTTTTTGAGAGCATTATGTCTTAATTAATTTTCTTTTTCACTATAGAAGTAGAATAAATAAGCCTATTATTGAGAAGATCACACGAAAATCTTACTGTTTGTACGAGCCCTTTCGTTGACAGGAATTTTTTCGTCTTAATTTATGAGATAAAAACCTATGAAGATTACTGAAGGAGACGAATAAAGCTGGCCGGATTGATAGCTCATCTATCATTGGCTGTGCCAAAAACAAACTTATACATTCAAAGCTTCAATAAAACGTAAATTTCTTCTTCAGGAAAATTCTAAATACTCATTCAATTACTGCGCAAATAGTCTAATTCTAGTGGGGTAAATTCCATGTCAGTTACGTTGAAATTTCGATTTCAAAATTTCACAGATTTTTCAATTTCAGTCTGTTTTATACCTATGTTTCATCGACAGTAATATAGTCTATAAAGTTAATTAATACTCAGTGCAATAGATAAGTCTGCTTATCACATATATATATTACGCTCATCTGAGGTATCATCAGAATATTCTATCCGTTTTACATAAAGCAAACAGTTATATTGCACGCGAATTACAATCGCTCAATATTTTTACCGACATTATAGCGAATAGTTCGAAATCTTCTCAAAAACTCAATCAATTCCTGCCGAGCGAGATCATTATTTGAATGATTTCTAAAACACCATGCAATAAAGCGGTAAAAAACGTGTAATAAGCGAAAAATTAAAGATTTTCTGCATTGATAATTTTTCAGCTTTAGAAATTTTAGAAATCTGAGGCTGAATGCGTGAAGATTGATAGAGGAGCTGAGCCACCGATAGAGCACTCACATATCGTGAGTGGCTTATAGTTATTTTTCTCACGCAGTGGTCGCATTTGCATCCTTTTCTTCGTTATTTTTGGAAACGGAATCTGTTGGAAGAAGTCTATCAATTTTTAAAAATGTGTAAACCGAGTATAAAGTTTCGTTTCAAAAACTGCATATTGCTTTATCATATAAACACATCTTCAAACTTCTAAAAAATATCGACGGGCTCAGGGTTAAATTTGAGAAATTTTAACAATTACTTTCAATATTATCTCCATTAAAACTTATTTTTTTACTTTTTATATTTTTAGGAAGAAAATATGTATTTATAATTATACCTTTATTTGCGTCCGAGACAAAGATTTTGTGAAGAACCGTGTTCTGCAACAACAAGTAGATACAGGCACAGACAATCGCAGCCACGCCAAAGATTCGGAAGCTCCACACGAGACCGACGTTGGCGATGAGAAAACCGCCCAAGAAACCTCCGCCCCCACGACCTGGGCAAGCAAGGAACCCAGTGACGTTTGAATATTTATTATCATCCGCAAATAAAGTTGATATTTTATCATTTCATCGTGAAGAAATTTTTCAACGGGAAAGAAGTAATTAATTAAAAGCGAATGATAAACTGATATTAACTTTCTACAGGAAGTGAGAGATGCGCTGAGAAGTTTTGATCTAATAAATTGATTGATTAAGTCAGAGCGAGGGATCAACTGTAAATGGGACGAAAAAAACTATCGAGATGATTTTGAACTAAACTGTAAAAAATGTTTTTTATAATTTAATATAGAAAAAATGTTCGGCAAGATAATCGCGCCGATGTCCAATAACAAAAATCTAAAATAATGCCATTTGTTATAAAATAAATTATTCGTTAAAACTTCCCATTTTCATATTATTTATGACTTACTGCATTTCGATTTTTATACATAGCCATCTTTCAATAAACCTATTATTGCTGCTTCCTCATAAATCTTTTATTATTAAAATGAAGAGGACTCGAATGCAACCTTACCACAGTAATGATAATTACCCTTATTTGTGAATTGATAATGAAGAATGTGCGCAAATGAAGGTGAATTTAAAACAAAATTATATGTAATAAACAAAACTGAATGCATGATAAAAAATATTAGATCACAACATAATGACTATGCAAATATATGCGTCTTAACTTTAGTGAAATGAGTAAATACTCTTCAATATCTTTGATGCTGCAAACTTTACAGTTAGACAATTAACAACCACCCACCCACGTTGAAGTGCATGGCTCCAGCTATCCCAGTCATTGTACCTGTAAATGAATTCACATGTAATTTCCTTCAAATGTAATATTATAATGTAAATGTACATTTTTCTTACCTAAAGTCGTAACCACTTAAATCAAGTCGTAACTATGATAAAAGCCATGTAGATCCTACCAAAACAAACAGACTTAATTAATCGTTGTGGCTTAAAAATATATTAATATATAGTGAAGAATTTACGTGAAATTCTAATTCAAAGTGCAAAAAATTCTTTCAGCACCTACCAAGTATGTGGCTCATGTATATGAATATAGAAAGATCAATTTACGTAAGTTTCTAATTCAAAAGAACAAAAAAAGATCATTTCAGCACCTACCAAGGATGCGGCTCAAATATATGACTATACTGTATAGTGAACAAATTACGTAAAATTCAAATTCAAAAGGACAAAAAATCGTTTCAACATTACGTAAAATCCTAATTGAAAAGAACAAAAAATGATCGTTTCAACACATACCAAGTATTTGGCTCAAATATATGAATCTATAGTGAACAATTCACGTAAAATTCTAATTCAAAAGAACAAATTATCGTTTCAACACCTACCAAGTATTTGGCTCAAATATATGAATCTATAGAGAACAATTTACGTAAAATTCTAATTCAACAGAAAAAGAAGACCGTTTCAACACCTACCAAGTATTTGGCTCAAATATATGAATCTATAGAGAACAATTTACGTAAAATTCTAATTCAACAGAAAAAGAAGACCGTTTCAACACCTACCAAGTATTTGGCTCAAATATATGAATCTATAGTGAACAATTAGCGTAAAATTCTCATTCAAAAGGTCAAAAAATCGTTTCAACATTACGTAAAATCCTAATTGAAAAGAACAAAAAATGATCGTTTCAACACATACCAAGTATTTGGCTCAAATATATGAATCTATAGTGAACAATTCACGTAAAATTCTAATTCAAAAGAACAAATTATCGTTTCAACACCTACCAAGAAGTCCCTTTGGTGCCAGGATAGGGCAGAACGTGATCACCGCCACCCACATGAGCTGGTAAGTGAACACCTCCAGAGCCTCAAAAATAAAGCAGTACCAGGGGTCTCTGTGGAGCAGGTAGCTAGCTACATCAGTTGTTTAAATTGCTATTCTTAAAGAGCATTTAAAAAGTTATCTTCAAGAATTACCGTGGAATAAATTTCTTACATATTTGCTAAAAGCTAAAAAATTGGAAAATAGCGGCTTTTTTATGTAGGAAAATTCGAAATTTATTCTCATTTGACTTGAGCTGTAGCCAAAAAATTAATTGATGAGCCCTAAAAAAACAGTGCAGCCTTTCAGAGACTCCCGGTGCTGACGGAGACTCGTAAGACTCAACATAATGCATTAATCAGTACCAAAAAAATAATAATAAAGTATTTGAAAATTGGAATTTATCAGCTTGGATTCAGCCAGTATACTTAATATTAATAATATTAATAATAATTAACTTGATAATAATCAACTCACGAGATGACTGAGTAGCCGAACATTCTGACAGAGTACGCCACGAATGCCATGAAAAATACCCGATGTCGTCCAATTTTATTAACAATTCTGTCGGAGACGAAGAGCACAGGAATACCCAGCAAACATCCAAACGTCAGAGTGAGACCTGAAGGACCAGATCGTGCATTAGCTCATTATAGTATAGTATAGTATAGTATAGTATAGTATAGTATAGTATAGTATAGTATAGTATAGTATAGTATAGTATAGTATAGTATAGTATAGTATAGAATAGTATAGTATCTTCGGTATTTAAGAATAGGCCTGGATATGCCTGTCGCCGATTCTTGTACTTATATTATAGTATAATATTTATAATATCATTGCCGGCACGAGAATTTTTTTACTATGAGTGAAACCTGACTCCAAGTGGACAACTCATACTGAGTATAATAGAATGAGAATTTGCTCTAAATAAATCTATTTAATGTAAAAAATAAAAGTCGTATATATGATGTTCCAAAAAAAATCGACTGTTCGCCATGAAACTGATGAGTCTCACCAAGCATGTAGGTAGGTGCGCCCAATGTTTTAAGATAAACAAAGAGATATTGCTCGATGAAACCCCAGTTGGCGCCCAATAGGAAGATTATTAGTAGAAAGATGAGAACTTCTGCCCTACTTAGAAGTCTGCGAAAGTTTAACAACACGTTGCCTTCTGCTTTGTGCTCGACCTGAAAGAATAAATGCAGCAGATGCCACAAGGTCATTTAATGTCATTAACATATCGTGTTTAAGACAATTTCAATATCATCAGGTGACATTAGCAATCAAATCAACAGAGCATCATTATTTACAAGACTTCTTTTTAAATTCACTTCCTTTTTGTCTGCTACAAATCTTATAATCAATATTTAACACACTTCTACCTGTCCAATTAACCTGAAATTTTGCACACTTGCTTAAAGTCGGAGACAATGCAAGAATCAATTGACAGAAAAAAAATTAAAAATTTAAAATTTTTTTTAATATATAAAGAAAATGTTGAAGAACATATTTTTTATATTAAAAAAATTCATTCTACATTAGTAATATCGCAGACACTAGTCTCTTTAGAAGTGTTGTCGTTAAAAAGTGATTTTTAAACGCCTATTATTTATTATTATTATTATAGTATACACTGGGCAGGGTAGCCCAGTGGTTAAAGTTCAGAGTACCAAGATTGGCGCAGAAAGGCGCGGGTTCGATCCCAGCTCTGTGCGCCAGTTTCTGGTCAGAATCGGCAAGGAGGCCGGGCGGTTAAGCACAGCAGAATTGTAGCAGTGAGTTGCGAGTTCAAGCCCGCAAAAAATGCTGCGAATGTTCTGCGATGTTCAGAATAGACGACAGGCCTACGGCCTAATAAACGCTGAAACCGCTATTATTTAGTTCTAATAGATTTAAGCTACGTTTCATTATAGGGCAATAATCATATAACAGTTTCGATAACTTACATGCAAGTCCACGAAGCAACCTATGGCCATGCTGAGGAGCAGGAGGGTGGCCATCACGTAGAAGACTGGCGTGTAATCTGTCTCGGCTACAGCATTGAGTTGACACAACGGTAAAATGAACAATAATGTTAGGAAATGTTCATCATTAATCATACGTCATGGAGGTGGTGTACTTTTTTTATTTAACAATAGTCTTTGTTTCTTTGCAAGTCCCTCAGAAAACCGTAACCATCAAATCCACCATCAATTTTTTATCCTCCCTGAAAATTTTTTCTCTTCTGATTCCATTCTATATGAAAATACTTAATAAAATTGTAATCCGTACACTCTTTTAAATCCACTATTAAACGAGTGATAATTGAATAAATATCACACACTGAAGCGTTCAAGCTTTCTTAATCCGATAAAACGATCAAACTCTTACCTAAATACTAGACTTATTATTAATATAGTTGACTATATATATTCTACTAGTATATGGTAAACTTATATAGTTTATACTACATATAGTATACTGTATGCAGTATAACATAGTTGTAGTGGTTTAGTAAAGTCTACATTAGTAAAATTCATATAGTATACTTATCTAGACTATACTACATATAATATACTAAATGTTGTAGAGTATAGTAGTAGTAGTAGTATAGTAAAGTCTACAATAGTAGACTCCATATTGTAGACTTTATTTAGTAGACTCGCAACCATATAAAAAGTAGCGTACTTAGCCCTTTGGACAGAGACTCGACGATGCAGGAGGCGATGAAGGGGAAGGTGGCCATGCTGAGCATGGCGACGAGTCTCTGCTTGCCGTAGTCGCCGCCCGTGCGCAGCATCACAGCCATAATTGACGCGTCCTGTGGTGAATAGTGTTGAATAGTGTTGAATAGTGTTGAATAAATGGTGTTGAATAAATAGTGTTGAATAAATAGCGTTGAATAAATAGTGTTGAATAAATAGTGTTGAATAAATAGTGCTGAATAAATAGTGTTGAATAGTGTTGAATAAATAGTGCTGAATAAATAGTGCTGAATAAATTGTGTTGAATAAATAGTGCTGAATAAATAGTGTTGAATAAATAGTGTTGAATGAATAGTGTTGAATAAAAAGGGTTGAACAGTGTTGAATAAATAGCGTTGAATAAATAGTGATGAATAGTGTTGAATGAATATTGTTGAATAAATAGTGTTGAATAAATAGTGTTGAATATCTAGTGTTGAATAAATAGTGTTGAATAAATAGCGTTGAATAAATAATGTACCGTTAGTATCATAAATAGTCGGGACCTATCCTGGGGTGAATATTGTTGAATAAATAGTGTTCTGTTGGTCTCATAAACCAATCCGCTGAATTTTAACAAATTCAATTTTTGCGCTAATGTCAGAGTGCACAGTTTTGAGAGAAAAAATCTGAATGAATGAATTAATTGTCCATCAGAATGATTTTTGTAATAGATTAAGTGTTTTTTAATATTTATTCGAAATTTATTCATTGATGTCGGTTAAATGATTAAAAAGAACAAAGACTAAACTTGCTCACAACATCTTCACATTTCGATAATAAATATGTCCTCGACATGAATATTTTCGATGGCAGCTCTTGATATCGTATCAAGTTCGAAATATCAACTAAGTACATTTTTTTGCAATCTACGTCCTCTAAATTTTTTTAAATTTGAAACCTTTAATTTTTTACCATCAAACCGAAGCTGGATTTGATGAAGAGCATTCCAGAGGTTCTCAGGGCCAGGTACCACCAAAACGTCTTACTGTTGCTCATCTCGGAACTTTCGAACGGATCACCGGTTTTAGACGCGAGGCAGTGAACAGTGCAGTTTTCTTCTATGAAAATGTCGTCATTCTTGTGCTTTCTATACGGTGACATTTTTCCCAAAGCACTGGAAAATATTATTTCATGTCCGCAATCCATTTCGCCATCCACCGGAACAAGACAACTTGCGAGAGGAATCTGGGTAAAGCACAAGTGAAAATCGGCTGAACTTTCATGCGATTGCGTTTGAAAAAATTTTCACTATCAACTGTGTTGTTTACAAGTGCATTGGATATTTGCATAATAAGATGAATTTTAGTCTATATTACTTTTACCTCAGCAATGAAAATACGTTTTGCAAGTCAACGAGCCCTTGCATACGAAGACAGTAAATAGGAATATTTTCGGTTTGGTATACTAGACACCAGGAAACTCCTCAATGCAAATTCTTTATACCTGCTGTGTGTGATCCAAGTGTCTGCAGATCAGGCCATAAGAGCCATGAGGCATCTCATGTAGTCCCGCTGACAGGCAGGATGACGAACAAGTCTACGAAGTAAAATTATAAACATCATTTTTAATTTTACTGAAAATTAGTTGAAAATATGTCCCTTATATATATATAATTATGTACGATGTTATATGAGCACAATAGCTTTTAGTGGAATGTTTACTATAATTAAGTTTTTCGCTATTAATTCAATTAAGCTTTTCGCTATTAATACATTTTCGTTCTTATAAGAATCGCGGAACTGGCTGTTATTGTGAATATTTTAAAACAATTCCAGTTTTTCCTGTTTTTTTTTCAGTCAATTCCAGTTTTTTATAAAATTTTAAAGGACTAAAGTGACTTTTTACGTAAAAAGCTAAACATCAACCTTTCTATTCCATAAATTTAAATTTTAGAGATTGAGACAACGAAGCTAGCACAAATAGAAATTTATGGACAACATCGAAGTTCAATGTTCGTAGTTCAAACCTACCAAATGTTCATCTGTCTGTAGGGGTTCCCGGCAGTCGAGATGTGATACCACGATTCCTGAGGTATTGAAGGTGAACGCTGTGGTCCCGGCAGTGCGGTCCACTTGCGGGATAAACGCGAGGCTTAGGGTGAGAACGGTGGTCATTGCAATGCTCACCATGAGAACCGCTTTGAACTTTGATGTTCGATCTGCTATCATGCCTGAAATGAACAAAATAACAGGAAAACGACTTAATAAAATATTTTAAACATCAAGAAAAACGACTTTTTGACATTGTCAATTGAATGAAAAAGGGCATTATTTTCTTTAAATTCTAAGCTAAAATAATGTGCGTTTTAGCTAAATTTACATGGAAGTATTTTAAACATCCAGAAAACAATTTTGTAAAATATTTTAAACATCCAGAAAAACAACTTTCTAAAATATTCTGAATATCCCGAAAAAAACGACTTTTTAAATTTTAAAAACACTTGAAACAACTTTTTGACAATCACAACCGGTTGTCAGAGAGACTAAGTTTAAACTTCATGTTTAATAACATTATAAATTTTAACTATGGTCATTATATCTCCAGAAACTACCTATCGCAAAGATTTCAAGGAGTTTTTAATAACCTAAACAATTCAGTCGGTTGATAAACTTCACAAAGTACATGCTTGTCTCTTTTTGCCAAGATTTGGTGAGAATTGGTCAAATATTTTATATCATTCTGTACTAACTAAACTATTTGGAAATTTTAAATGAAAAGCGTACATTCTGATATCAAAGCTCTTAGCTACGAAAGCATGGTTCGGTTTATTGTTCATGTTTTCTAAACGAGTTTGAGAGCACCAATACCATTACACCAGCAACAACACCAACGCCAACACTAACATTAACTCCATCACATATGGTGTTTCAGCACCAACACCACTACACCAGCAACAACACCAACACTAACACCATCACATATAAAGTGTTTCAGCACCAACACAAGTACACCAGCAGCAACACCAACACCACTACACCAGCAGCAACACTACCACTAACACCAACACATATAGCACCAACACCTTTACACCAGCAGCAACACCAACACCTCTACAACAGCAGCAAAACCCCCACTAACACCATCACATATAAAGTGTTTCAGCACCAACACAAGTACACCAGCAGCAACACCAACACCACTACATCAGCAAAAACACCAACACTAACACCATCACATATAGTGTTTCTGCCCCAACACCAGTACACCAGCAACAACACCAACACTAACACCATCACAGCCACCATCATCCCAAGTCTCACCGCTGATGATGGGACCGATGATGGCAGAGAGCGGCAGGACACTAACACCATCACAGCCACCATCATCGCAAGACTCACCGCTGATGATGGGACCGATGATGGCAGAGAGCGGCAGGACACTAACACCATCACAGAGCCCAACACCAACACCACCACTAACACCATCACAGTCACCATCATCCCAAGTCTCACCGCTGATGATGGGACCGATGATGGCAGAGAGCGGCAGGACAGAATATATGACAGCGACCTCCTTAACGTTGAGCCCAACCTGCCGCATGTGCAGCGTGAAGAACGGCACAGTCGTGAACATCCCTGAGCAAACGCTTCTTCATCGTATCATTTACAAGTGGAATTTAATCAAATTTGCATAATTCATATTTGTTTGGTAATTGATATGCTCTTTTCACCATTGTGAAATAGATTTTGATCATGAATTTATTTGAATGATTTCATCATAGAAGTTTCTCGTAAACTGTCTTATGTTTAGCCCTCGAGGCGCGCGAGGGCTTTCCATTGAGTCTGCGAACACTTCCGGGATAATGAAGTATTTTTCCTTGAGTATTTTTAACTTTTACATTGTTGTATTTGTTAAGCGAGTTTCAGTAAGGTTAAACCATAATTTTGTACCTAGCATTACTTATTTCGTCACAAAAATTTGCAACGATATCAGTCAGCAATCATCGGCATCCATCTTTATTAAAATAAAACTTAATATTATTTATGCTACAACACATAATTATTAGTCTCTCATACTCACCACCATAGAAGAAGAATGCAAAAATCTTGAGAGGTATAAGTTCTTTTTTAGGTTTCAATTCTTTTTTCAAAAACCTCAGACAAAGCGCGGCTTTACTCACAGCTTGAGTATTGCAAACGGCCTTTGACTTTTCAGCGTCAGACGACATGAGCGCCTCGACCACACTACCGCATTCCGAACCCACGTTCTTATCATGATTCATTATTGGATATTTATTCTTTAATGTATATCATACAAGTCATAAATCTTGGAGTAAAGTGAGTTTTATTGGAAATTCATGACTTTAGGAATACCATAAACAAAATTTTATCAAAACTAGTTTTACCATATTGTGGCGAACACATTAACAAAATTGGATACTAGAAAAATATGGGAGCAAAGTGAGTGAGACTGTGAGAAATCGAATGATTTGAGACAATTGAAATGAATATAACAAATACTTCATAATTAAATTTTAAATGTAGTTAAGAATGAGGTTGATCATTGGTGGATACGTCTAGATATATACGTAGTTCTGATCGGTGCAGCCGAAAACAAGAGATCAACACAAGATTGTAAGCTGTACAAAGGTCACGGACTGGTAATTATTTTAGCAATGACAAATGAAAAACTTTCATGAATTTGCTCGAAAATTACTTTTGAAAACTATTTGCTGTAATTGCGCATAAATAACAAAAATTTCGCGAAGGGTATTGAAATCAGGAATTTTCAACAAGTAAACAAGTTTGAGTCAACAAATTCAAATTTATGGTTCGCTGTCACACTGCACATTACTTGAGTAGCGCAGGGTTACACGGAATAATGTAAATCTCATGATCAATTCTTTCAATAGACAATTGTTTCAATAGACAATTGTTTCAATAGACAATTGTTTCAATAGACAATTGTTTCAATAGACAATTGTTTCAATAAACAAACAAAAAATAAACGTTCACCACACTCAAGCTTCTCGTAGCACTGTTGCTGAACCCTTTCTAGGATTGTACAATAAGGGGAGCTTCATAGTTCATTCCTTATCAAAATTCTTATCATTTCTTAGACACGGACTAGACATGCTATTGCACGATGGATGTGCATACATGCAATCTTATGTTTTTATCAGCTGATAAAATGAGTGTTCTGTAAATGATTTTATGTAGGTAGTAAAGTTAATAGACAGTAAGATGAATGTATATAATATGAAATTATTATCAGCTCATCGTACCAGACTTTATTGCATTTATTGGCACTCGTAGCTTCGGCAATTCGTTTTTCATAATGCGGCTGAACTCTTATGTAATCTTTATTAATAATGCGCTGAACACTTTTGTACCTACTTTTTATAATGCTAACAATCTCTTCTGTAATTCTTCTTTACAATGTCGAAGAATTCTCCTGAAATTCCTTTTTAATAATGCTGATCAACTCCCCTAAGTTCCTTTATTTTAATGCTGCTGAACTCTCCGAACGAGTTACATCAGATAACAATAATGTTTGCTTCAAATTATCGTTTAGAATATTCGACATTTCACACTTGATACTCCGAGTAGAACAGCGAGAGACAAATTTTAGTCAATGAACGTATAAATATAGTCATAAGATTTGAAATCTGTTCAGGTAAACTGGAAGAACAATTCCCTATGAGCGTGTTTTCTATGCTTTTCATCGTTTTTTTACCTTTTATTCACAACACATCAACTTTCCTTTTATAGTCATTTTTATTATACACGCCCGACTAACCCAGAGTATGAAGGAAGTCGCGACCCAGAAGCATCGCAAGCGTGTCGTTTCGTCGACGAAACGACACCACTGAAACCTTGTGACCGCTCATGCGTAGTGTGCATGGCGAGTAAACCTAAAATGAAATTATACGAGAGAGCGAGCAAAAAATATTGAAAATCGCTGGGAAGATTAACGAACCTTTGCGCACCTTATCATTAAGCTCTTCTTTGATTAGATTTATTAGAACTTTTCCTTGCTGACCTTTCCGGAAATATCAAAAAGTTCGAATTCGTTCTCTGCGGTAGAGAAAACTTCGCCTAGAACAGCCAATGGCATCTGGAACCACATGACTTTGAGCGCCGACAGTCTAAGCAACTGGGAATTCAAAATTAGGCCGATCCAAGCCGCTGATGATCGATGAATAAAATATAATTTTTTATTATATAAAATCAAGTTTACTTTTCCCGTTCGTTCAAGTGGAGAACCGTCGTTGTCTGTTTCAAAGTTTAATTTTCTATACTTAAGCTCCATTTTTCTAGCACCCTAGAGTTCAGTTCACCTAAATATGTTCAATTTTTACACTCAACTTACGAATAACTTAATATTCTCAAAAGATACACAGCTTGGTACTGCTTCAGAAACTAAAAATCAAAGGATTTTCGGTGACTACGAAAAAGTAATCATACGCAAGTCAACGAAACGAGCTTTGAGAAAGATGAGCTTGAAACTGTTTAGTCACAACAATAGCAAGACCCAACACAGGTAGGGACATGGTTGAACAAGTATAAATAGTTTAGTATGTATAGTTGCATACGTAGTATAGTTGACTGCTAGTATAGTTGAACCATGTGTACGGATAACTGAACACCAAACCTAACTGCTTGTCATCAGATCGCAACTGAAATGAACTCGGCACTTTAGGGTGAGATGGAGCTGCTCGCTCAACAATTGATGCACATCCTGTGTACCGACAGTCCCGTAAGCCACGACCAACGGTATGCTTTTCATTCTATTATCTACTAATAGGTAAAATATTACTAACAACTATCAAGGTTTGGAATCTTGTCACTGTCCCAGTCTTGTACGTATGCTCTGGCCCTACGTTTGCTTGTGTTCATGATCATTAGGTTAGCGCACTATTGCATCAGCTGTTCAGCTCCGGCTGTTATCCAAGGACAGCGGGATAAAAAATATTAAATATATGCGAATAAAATTCAAGCGAATATTTTAATGGGTAACATTTGACTGCGAGTGTTTACCTAGTTTAATCATTTGTCTCCTTGATTTTAACTAATTTGATTTTAACCCCCCAATCACTTGGCCACGGGACGGTTTCCGAACGACTGAGTATAGCGCTAAAAGCAGACTCGTTCCACAAATTTTCTTTTTTTTTTAGGAAACCGTTTGTTAGAGCACCCGAAGCTGAAATACACAGCCACACGTCGTCACCTGTTGATACGGATTTGAATCCCATAATAGATGTTATTTAACAATCAATTTTCTTCCTGCATTTGTCAACGGTTGGACGTAGAGCGGTTACTTTTTCCTAGACATTCTGTATTAATAAAAAAATTACCACTTTTCCCATTATAAATATGAAAGTTAATTCCAGAAGTTCTTCTTCGGGAATCTCGACAAAGTAGAAGAAGAATACGCCAGTGAAAGTGGTTATTCATTAAATCGTTCTATAACTTCACTAACGTAGAAAGTACTAATGAGCGTACGTGGTCGTTTACCAAGGCAACGACTACCAGACAAATTCATTTTCTCGCTCCTACAATTTCATGAACTTGTTCAAGTTTCTTCATGTATAAATATTTATAAATATAATGTTAGTAAAAATGGCAGGTACAACAAGATTCCTTTATTCATATTGAAGAATTACAAAGGAAGCGAAATGCATATTTAAGTTTCACAAGAAAGTAACTCAAGACTATGTTGGCTCAGAGCTCCAAGTCAGGTACAGACTCTAATAAAATAATGATAGCGATATAACAGCCATTTCTTTCATTGAATTATGACCGAACACAAACAAAATTTTGGACAACACCTAAAACCGGTTGACTGTAAAACAAATGTAGAGTCAATTATACGCAACTATTCGGTAAAAAGCAACTTGACCAGACAACAAAATGCTGCCTAATATGCCGGACAGAATTTTACCGAAAATTCCACTCTAAATGCATAGCTATATCATATAGCAATAACACGAGACCAGCACATCAAAATACCGCCGTCCAAATAAATCTATAGTCGCAGGTACAAATTTTTGAAGAAAATTATAGGTACAACAATTTGAACTGAAACCATTGTTATAAGCAAAAATATTAATGTTTGATTACTAGCAGCCGTTTTTAGTTTTGATATAACTTTGATTACTAACTCACTATCAACACTTATATATTCGTTTGATAAAGAATGTCTGTAAGTTGGATGATAAGAACAAATTACTCGGTAGCAAATCAACAGAACCAAATGGCAATATGGCAGAAAAATATTATATTGCGCTGGCATTCGACGAACGAATGCCCAAAAGTTTTAATAACATAGCACCCTTTACGAGAATACGTTTCAACCAAGAATTTTATTTCTACAAAAATTTTTCACAGTATACTAAGTAAATCTAATTCAAATAAACCAACAAGACAGCATGAGCAATCAATACAATTTCTTTTATTTACAATTCAGTATCATTATTTTGTATTTACAGATCTGGTATCAAACAAATGTTAATGCAGGTATAAACAACTTCCATCAACAAGCATGAAATGAGCCCATGCTGTAGTAACAGCAACTTGTTGATATGAATAATGAGAAGCATTTTAATGGAGCACGAGACAGGTTTGGAAGAACGTGGACAAATAATTCCTTAACCCCGCAGATAGAGTGCACATCAACACTCCCATATCAAGTGCAAATCAACTTTTCCAAGTCAGGCAGAGCATATCAACACTTCTCAGTCATTACTCCATATCAACACCTTTCAGTCATTACTCGTATATCAACACTTCTCAAACATCAATCGCACATCAACACTTCCCAAACATTATTAGCACATCAACACTTCTCAAACATCAATCGCCTATCAATACTTCTCAAACATTACTCGCCCATCAACACTTCTCAAACATCAATCGCATATCAATACTTCTCAAACATTACTCACATATCAACACTTCTCAAACATTACTCGCATATCAACACTTCTCAAACATCAATCGCATATCAACACTTCCCGGTGAGCAAAATCGACAGCTCTGCATAACTCCCTCCATATGCAGCGGGTGCGAGCAGTGCTTGTTTCACAGCCATCAACCATTTATCATAACGCATCCAGATTCTATGTCGTTCTTACCAATTAACTTCATGAAGCTACCCAGGAAGCTCCAGGCAATTCTAACAAATACAAATTTTTTGCGGTTTAGAATAGAATTTCATTTCCACTCGAGTGTGATTGAAAAAAAAAATAAATAAAGGCGCAGAAAATTGAATGAAGATTTTTAATAGAATTGACACCCCCATTCCGAAAAAAATGTTAACCTAGACTGACAAAACAGGAGGGTGAAAAATACATTTTAATCTTCAAGTTTCAAATACAAAATTAGCTGCGAAAAGTCCAATTGAAACAGTTGAGCGCCAGGTGAATTTTCCCGTTAGAAATATTACAAGAGAACATCGCATAAAACGGTAACGTCATCACCAACTATACAACAAGTTTAGAAGACTCAAAGAAGTTCCGAAGTTTCAAAGACTACAAAGGATTTGTAATATTTACGACCAGTTAATGCATTATAAATAGCACCATGCATCACAAAACTGCCCAGAAAACCCCAAAGAAAAGCGAGAACGATTTTCTGAGCAAAACCCCAGGCTGATGTAAGAGAGGCAAGCCAGAAACATTTCAGTGAGGAATATTATAATCCTTTTTTATGCAATCGTCTACATGACAATTCTTCGTTCTATCTTAAGATTATTTCATCCTAAGAATAACCAAGTTTTACAGGTTCTTCAGGATGAGACTAAATTATTATACATCACTATGTACACAGTAATAAACTTGTATAGTTTTCAAAGAAGAGATGAAGACAGAAGACAGAATTTGGCTACAGATTCTCTCTTGCAATAATAATAATAAAAATACTTGTTATAAGTTCACGAGGCAACAACGTCATCACATGTCATACATGACAAATTCAAATTCCCGAAAAAGCACAACTTTATTGAAAAGTTTATCGAATTTAATAATAAAGTAGATTCTGTTTGACTGCCGCTATTGCTCTTCAAAAGGAGAAGTTGAACTGAGCACCAAATCATTAGAGAATTAGCAGGCAGATTTTCCGCCACACAATTTTATTTATGGGTTTAAGTTACCATAACAATTCCGTTCAACTGCATGAAATGTGATGGTCTCAGTGGCGAATCAAGAGCTACGATATACGATTATTCATCATTGACAAATTCATCAAAACATGGAAGCCTTACATCGCAAAAATAAATTCTTAATAGTGAAAACAATTTCAAAAAGAGCTCGGTCCACAAAGAAGATATTAATTTGGCACAGTCCGAGAGTCAAACAAATATAATAACTGATAGAAATTTTGAAATAATTTATCGGAAAATAAATGCGTTCATCAGAGTCGGGGATAAATGACTAGTTCAGTGGTCAACATTATATATATTGAAAAAGTAAATCAGAACGAGTATTTAATATAAACAAAGAAGAGGCTCCCAAATGGACAACTCACTCAATAAGTAAGATACGTCCAAAATTTTATTAATTTTAACGTTGTTCTCAAAGCAAGACATTCAAGTCAACAATATTTAAAGTCAAAATACCGTCACTAATTTGTCGAACGTAAATAAGATCTTTCTTAATAAACTAAGATATTTTGTTTGTCCTAAAAGATAACTAAATAATTATTTCTAGATATCAGCAATTATGAGGTTATTTAAAATTTAAGTTAAAGATTTTGCTAGACGTAGGAAAAATCGAGTATTAGGCTAAAGTTATTAACGACATTTGTGCGGCCGATTGAAGTAAATGCTTCGTGGAACGGAAAATCAATAAGATTAAGTAATTACCAGTAGACGCGATGGTACAGGCCGAATTAATACTGAGCAAAACGAGAAACAAATGCAAACAATGCAAATACATGAAGGCACAAATATTGTGCAAAATTGACTCGAATACAACGTGGACAAAAATGAAGAGCTGATGAGCGTAGCGAAGAGTGCGCGTTGCAGCCACGAATGTCAGCATTTATTCAAACTCTTCGTAAAATTCGGAATTCCTGCAGTACCTGAAAACAAATTAAACGTCAGGAGTGCAAAGAAGAATGATTGAACTGCTAGTAAATACCTATATGGAGCAGCAAACAATGGATTAACATTCATAAGTTACTCATTTCATTTTATGCAGGATTTGAAGAAAGTTTTTCATGGAAGTAGAATCAAATTGAGGGTCTCAATTGGTAATGCCACTGTTACATTGACCAGTTAAAGTAATGCGACTTGATGCCACAACAGAATGCAATTACAAAGTGACAAAAATAACTAACAACTTTTGAAAAGGTGACAAATGAATTAAATATACCAACCATAATTGGTGAAAAGTAAACTATATAAATCATAGTACGTGTAGCTACACTATAGAAAGATCCATTGTAAATATCGAGCAGAACAATACCACAAAATTAGACCAATAACTTTAAATTAGAAGCTGTATATGTCTATGTAGGTACCTAGTTAGACAATATCTTTAAACTATAAGCCATGTATGTCTATGTACCTAATCAGACAAAATCTTTAAACTATAAGCCGTGTATGTCTATGTACCTAATTAGACAACATCTTTAAATTCTAAGCCATATATGTCTCTGTACCTATTCAGACAACATCTTCAAATTCTAAGCCATATATGTCTCTGTACCTATTCAGACAATAACTTTAAACTATAAGCCGTGTATGTCCATGTACCTGGTGAGCACATAGACAACAGCCTCATACGTAGCCATCATGATGGCAGTGTTGGGTATTTGTCTAATAAGCTGCGTGGTGAGGCCTCTGTAGAGGCCGTGATAGCCTTCCTCCCGCAGCACCAGCCCCAGCGTCTGCCAGAAGCCGTGGTACTTCACACCGCACTCACGCAGTCTCGTCCGCGCCACCTCTGCAACAACACGGCGACTCAATACATTTTAATAGAATACGCTATTTTATTAATAAATTAAAGAAGCTGCATATATTATCATTGGAAGCCGCAATGTAGAATATATCAATCACAGAAGCCACACATATGGGAGTCACTCATATAGTCATATAGGAGTCAATAATGGAAGTCACAAATGTTAATAATGGAAGCCGCAAATATTAATAATGAGAGTGACAAATATTAATAATGGGAGTCACAAATGTTAATAATGGAAGTTGTAAATATTAATAATGGGAGTCGCAAACGTTAATAATGGTTACCTACTGCAAATGTTAATAATGGAAGCCGCAAATATTAATAATGGGAGTTGCAAATATTTATAATGGATGTCGCAAATATCAATAATGGAAGCCACAAATATTAATAATGAAAGAAGCCAATATTAATCATGGAAGCCGCATATTAATCCATTATACAGAAATGCTGGCTAAAAATGAAATTTCGACTTGTGTGCAAATAATAAAATAAAACTGCAGCCTGTTTTATGACCCCAAATGGATGCTTACCATGAGGATAACATAAGGACGAGGCGATGGTCTTGCTCATGGCCCCGGCGCACATAAACTCGAAGAAGTCTCTCGTGGATCGAACATCAGGATTTGATTGTCTGCAAAAATCAAAAGAAATAAATTTTAGAGGAATTTACTGTTGTGTATCAGAAAACACGCAATTGACCAAGAGTTATAGTAAGTACAGATGTATATTTCGTCACAAAGCGAAGTATTAATTACACTTCGGAGTAAGAAAAAAAAGGGGGGGCAGAAGGCAAGTCTGAAAGGGCCTCGTCGTAGCTTTTATATATTCATTACGGATAGATTCATTTAGGATGTCATATATCAAGAAAAATAAAGGAAAGCAAAAAGCAACATAAATTTAAAAGCTCATCTCAATAGACTATGGTTGCTATAGTTTATTTATCTTACAAAAGATTAAATAAAAATGAACGAAGCATGACGCTATCCGGTACTAAACTTCAAATTTTGTTAATAAAAAGTTAATATTGTTGTGATGAATCGATATGTCAAAAATTACAAGCTAAAAATCTGTAATTTCAAAATATATACTATATGATAACATGGCTATGAAGCTCATTTTGACAAAAAACTTCACAGTCACAATATAGAAGGGCTAATTTATAATATAATCACCTGCGCTCCTGGAACTTGGCTTTGACAAACTCGTAGATGACGAAATGTATGACGGTCTCGGAGATACCGTAATAGGAGGCGGTGAGTCCCTTGTAAAACCCCAGTACACCCTGAAAAATAGCAAGGGCAAATGTCAGTAAACAGACAAAAATACCACGTCAAATGCTATTAAACAAAGAAAAAAATACAGGTCAAATGCTAGTATACGTACAAAGAAAAAATCACAGGTCAAATGCTGGTATACAAAGAAAAAAATCACAGGTCGAATGCTGTTATATACAAAGAAAAAATCACAGGTCAAATGCTGTTATATACAAAGAAAAAATCACAGGTCAAATGCTGGTAAACACAAAGAAAAAATCACAGGTCAAATGTTAATTAATAAATTCCCTTTAGGCAAGTTATCAAAATTTGCAACGTGAATTTAGCATTCACGTGCGAACTTTCAATGCAAAGACAACAGTTTTAATCATCACAAACCTTACCAAAAGTATTCAGTGTGAATGGGAGATGGTGTATAAAATCAACGAAATGAAACATTAAATGATATGTAAATGAATAAAATTTACTCAAAATGGAAATTTAAACGGTAAACGAATGGTAGTGATATGGTATATACATACGTACCACGTCTGATGTAATCAAAAGGATGGAGAGCGATATAGGTACTTAGAGTGATATACTTCGATGAAGTATGCACGCACCTTAGAGTGATATAATTCGATTAAATATGTAGCATGCACTCACCTTAGAGTGATATACTTCGATTAAATACGCAGTATGCACTCACCTTAGAGTGATATATTTCTCGGATGGTTCCAAGGGTAGATTTTTTGTGCCCGACCTTGTTGCTGTCGAGCTGCACCCTCGTCTTCACAAACCAGATGGGGTTGGTGGCCGTGCACGAGGTGAACCCTGCATTCAACACACATTTCATTCAACGCAAAATTGTTGTTTTGAGCCCACGCTGCATGTGCAGTGAACGCATTTCAACGCACAAAATTTGAGCTTGAGCTCACATTGATTCAAAATCTAACGAACGATCTGTTTTGTCATATCTCAACAGAAAATATTTCAGTTTGATCAATTTAAATAATGAACAATAACTCATATATTCAGTATTTTCAAACGTCTAATTTAGATATATTAGTGCAAACAAAATTATAAACAAACTCAACACGTTCAAAGGTGATCATAGAGGAAAAACGAAAATGTGTTCATAAATTGAAAAAGGCCTAGATTCTGGATTTGAACAACCAAAATTGAGAATATTTCAAATTAAAGATTTAGAAAACTAAGAAGTAGACTGGCAACATAATGAGCTATGTTAGATGTGATTAGCAATACAAAATCAAGTAAAATTTGACAGGTTTTATTCAATAGAAATTGCTGCCGTTGCAAAACTTTTCAAGACATTTCCAAGTAACGAAATCTCAGCAGAACCGACCTCACTGTAAGCCAACTCACAACCCAACAGAATACGATACCAAATATTACACACCAGGTTAAACCACATCACAAATGTACGAAACTTGATAAATGTGGCACTCCAACTTCAAAAAATCTATTCGCTATTTCATTTTAATTCTATAATACGCATTTTGTACTCATTTTATAGGCTTCAATTCTAAAATAAGCACTATGTTCTTATTCTATAAGCAGACTGATCAATGTGGCGTACGGTACACAGTTTAAAAAAGTATAAGGGCTTCTTATTATTCTTTAATTCGAACAAAGTAAATAGGTCGAATAATAATAACAATAACCAATAACAAACTTCACTGAAGCAAATTAGTGAATATTGCACTAGTTAATACATTGGAATGGCTTCAGACTACAGTTTAAAAAGTTTATTTCCAAGCCATAATGCATCCAGAATAACAGTTGGACGAGATATTCTACCACGAGTATATGTTAAACTGGACGATATGCAACAAAATTACATAATTAAATGGTGCTTATTTTGGACTTGCATTGAATGTTAGCATATAAAATTTATAATTTAATATTCTGATGAAGTCAAATAGCAGAGCTGCATTCAGGGTATTTCTTTTCGGTACTTGGAAGCGTAGGTTGTGGCCACAGCGAGTGTGTAAAATACAGTGATGAATGTTGGCGATGAAGGCAGGACGCAGCGTGTTGAGCGATGAAGGCAGGAGGCTGCGTGTTGGGCGATGAAGGCAGGACGCTGCGTGTTGAGCGATGAAGGCAGGACGCTGCGTGTTGGGCGATGAAGGCAGGACGTGGCGTGTTGGGCGATGAAGGCAGGACGCTGCGTGTTGGGCGATGAAGGCAGGACGCTGCGTGTTGAGCGATAAAGGACGACGCTCGAACTTTTTTTTAATCGCTCGAATTCCGGAAAAAAGCTAGGCGAAATGATTCCAGAGAACCAAAAATGAATGGCCGAAAATAACCAGACAAAAAATTAGAGCACGGAATCATTCAAGCAAACTACAATGAATTAGATTGAAACTTTACACTGAAAATAACTGAGGACGACAAGACACTAATGATAAGTTAAGCAACGCTCTCCGGAGTATTGAGAAATATTGAGAGTATTGAGAAATAGTTGTGAGAAATATTAACGATACACCAACTCGATGCCCATAATTCGTTGGGGGTATGATAAGACAGCCGCAAGCCATCACTAAAAAACAGGAGTATAGCAATAGCAGACGAACAGGCTGAATGCCGTTGTCAGACAACAACATAGGCATTAGAAATTCTTTATTAACCTATTAAACAGATAATATACATGGTAGTACGATGGTCCCATAACATTAGTAGCGACAGCAGGTGTGGCTGGAGAGGCCGTCGGCCTTGAGACTACCGTCTTCAACGCGTAGTAAATTGAGTGCGATCAACTAACATCAGCAACACTATCATCAACGAGCAATGATTGCCCAGTTGAGGGAGTAAGGTTACAAATAAAGCTCTCATATTAAAGACATTGGTACTGTGAAAAGCGAATAGCCTATCGAGACCAAATAGAGGGAAAATGTAAGTTCCGTTTGAGATACAGGGAGATTTGGTCTAAATGTTCGCCATGAGTGTTGTTAGGCAAAGGAGAAACATCACTAAAGATTTCAAGGTGAGGGGATGCGACCCGACGAAATGATTTACACGGTACAATCATTATTGTGCTGATATACAGGTCAGTTCGACTGAAAATCATTAGGAATGGGTAGTGCGTATTCAAATTTAAAAAGCAGGCCAGACCGACGAATTTTAAAATGATCGACACAGAAAAATTAATAGGAAAGTGTATGCGGTGTCATCTTACGTGCTTATAAATTAGCCATATGGCAGAAGCCATGTGGCATTAGCCATGTGGTAATGGCCATGTGGTAATGGCCATGTGGTAATGGCCATGTGGTAATGGTCATGTGGTAGTGGGCATGTGTCATTGGCCATGTGGCTGCGGCATCACGCGTCTGGCGCCACGCAATGCACAATAGAACGCATCCAATGCACATTGCAGAGCGGAACAAGACGGCAGTTTGCTTGCCCCTGACATTGAGCCAACGAGAGAAATCAGGGCTCGATGGCATTGTCTATAAGGTGAAAATAATGCAGACGGTGTGATAAGAAATTGCCGTAAATTATGCGATTTTTGAACCGATAATTACATACGTCCTGATAAACCAACTTAAAAAGCTACGATCTCTATTTGTATATAAAGTTCAAAACAACACGCAAGTAAAACTAGCATCATTCATTATTTCACGCCGAAACACTTGTATATTTCCCGAGAACAAAAACACGCGTAGTTCAAGTGTTTTCATTTAAAAAAAGTATTTCCTCGAGAATCCCTGTGGCATCGAATAGCTTGTAGATGTAGTTCATCGGGTGTTTTCATTAAAAAAAAGTATTTCCTCGAGAAACTCTTAGGCATCAAATAGCACGTAGATGTAAACATATAAAAAGTGCCTCGAACGCAGCTACATTCCTTGGCACGTTGGAGTTGGTCATGGTCAGGACAGAGCGTTAGCGCTCGCATTGATTGCAAGCCAAGCCAAGGTCGTGCTTTTTAAGGTCACCACAGTTGAACCCCTCGATGAGTAAACTAAAATGATTATCACAAACACGTTATCATACTTGAAATTCTTACGCTATTTTGATTCCCTTTAATGGAACTACGAAGTCCGTTACGTTAAGGTCACCGCAGTTGAACCTCTTGACGATTAAACTTAACTGGTTATCACAGACACGTTATCATACTTGAAATTCTTACACTATTTTGATTCAATTCAATGGAGCTACGAATTCCGTTACGACAAGCCTAACAAATGTACGGAACGAGGGTAAAGCTTTTAAAAAAATTGCATTGACATTTTTGCAGTTTCTCTGACATAGAATGAGAAGCAAGGGCATTTTTTATCGCAGCCAAACGATGACCATGCACTTTTCTAAACGCAGCGCATTGTTTCCTAACAATTCATGTTTCCCTTGAATATTAACTTTTTCCTGAAGGCGGTACATATATTTTGCATGCATATGTAAGACAAAAAATATATTTTTTAATCGGATGGCATTCTGAATGCATTCACACACTAATGTTCTGTTATCACTTTCAGTTTTACCACTAATCGGAACTTTCGTTGGTATCACATTCTAATCTATAATTCTGCTCTTATCTAAACACCGACTTGTGAGAGCACATCCCACTACCACCATTGCGTAAATACCGATTCCTTTGGAACCGAACTGACTAATTGAAAGATATAGTCGAAAACAACACGCGTTCACACAGCCGAATCATGTTGACATGACATGTGTAAGTTTTATAACACTGATCGTTACTCATACAGCGTGAATAATGCAGAACATAGCAGTTACCGTACTCGAGTATTTTACATCTGTGTTCATTACATCTGATTCTGTGATCAATTTTCGATAACGCTTCCATAAGCGCGTTCGGCGCCTCCTGAAGAAATAACCTCAGTCTCGATAACCCAAAAACGTCTACGAAAGCACAGTATCAGATTCTGATATCGTATTGGAGACAAACATAATGCGCAGCCTTCAGGCAAAATAGAGTGCAAACAGTGGAAATTTCCACCTTTAATTGGGTTGAAGTCATTCATACATACTTGGAATGAATTCAGCATGTATGATGTTCATGGGCACTGACACATGAATAACTAGCGCATGATGAAGAAGTTCGGTCAATATGGTCCGCAATTTTAAAGGAGAGAAATCAAATTTTGCTTCCCTCACGAGAGGGAAGCAAAATTTTCTTCCTCATTTCACTCATCACGAGAAATCAATGAAATGTGCTACTGATCAGTGTTACCGAAAAGCCGAGGTAACAATTCGTAAGTTGACACGAATACCAGTGTTGATGATCGATATCATGTTAGGATGCGATATTATATTTTTATTCACAGAAGAGATGGCGCAAGTCTGAAGCTCAAGAGTCGAGACGGTGTTGAACGTGACTGTCCCACAGTTCAAAGTCCAGAAGGCGATACGAATACTGATTTCATTACCGCGAAGTAACCACTAGAAATAGGAGATAATCTAACAATTCATAAGAGGCGGCAACAACTAGTAATATATTGTAACATTATAAACATGTTGAGAAACGTGAGGCAAAAATTCGGCCTTGAGTGAGATTAAGATAGAAGACCTTAGCGATATTACGTTGGAGGCCGGGTCTGTAGGCTTCGAAGTAAGGTTAAATGCCCCGGCGAAACGGAAAAATACCGAGCCAAAATAAGGCAAAGGATTAAAATATTGGCAGAAAGAACCGTTGCATACAGGATATATGGTTATGAAATAGAAATTCTACTTATGAACTCATCTAAAGGAAGCCATTTGATCGCTCGTTTGAAGAAAGTCAAATTCTTAAATACGGTCATAAGTTTTAAGAAGAATTGCTTACTTCACGTGTGATTTAAATTAACTAAAAC